CAATTCCTTAATGGGCTTTAATCTCTGTACCATCTCCTCCTTAGATCTGAATGTAATCACCACCCCACGACCCCCACTTTCTCTCACCAAGACATCCTCCACTTCTATTGCTTCAATTTCTTTTTTCAGATTGACTGTAGCATAACTCTCTTTCAAGCGAACAACTACACTCTCATACAACCACCCATTCCCTATTTCTTCCGCCTTTAGTGTAATGTTTTCACGGGCAACACACGGTTTGCCTCTTACCGCCTCTGCGTATGATCTCTAATCTGTCAAGACTAGTACCCACCTTCGTCCTTCCCCTCGTTGGCCATTTTGCCCTTTAGCTTGATGAGGACCTGGCTTTGTTGATACAACTCCCTCTAACTTCTCCTTCCCAAGATTTGCATGCTTCACTTCGATTGCCTTATCATCCATCCATAGCCCATTGGCTTTTTGCACTGCAATAGTGGCCGCCACAAGACAATCAAACCTTACAAAGCCAAACCTTGTGTTAGTTGTCCTTCTTCTTTTATACGGGATGAATACATCCTGCACCACACCAAACTTATTGAAGAGGGTGTAAAGCCTCTTCGGGCTCACTAAAGTTGGTAGATTATCCACGAATATGGTGAACACATCTCTACATCCTCCATGCCTCCGTCGTTCTTGCATACCCCTCTGCCTTACAACTGGGATCCAGCCTCCTTCCTCTTTCGCCATCTCATATGCCTTAAAAATTAAAAACTTAAACCACAAAAATTGAAGTGAAACAAACACCAAACACCAAACTTATTTAGTGTTGTGCCTAAGGGCCAGAAACAAACACCAAACACACACACACAAATGAGACACATAAGATTTACATGGTTTAGTAAGACACCTACGTCCATGGCCAACATATTTCACTATATGGACAGTAAATTACAACAATGGAGGAGAAGACAACACTCTTTACTCAACTGATTGCTACACTTGTGCTCATTCTCACTTCTACTTCTGAACTTTGAACCTCTTACATACACTTTGTATTTATCAAAGTTTTAAAAGGCTTTACTGAGACTCGCCTTAAGACTAAGGTAAAATGTATCAAGGTTTTGATTTTTAGGTTTTACTCCTCAAAGGCTTGTGCATAACAATTTGAGACATGCGCCTTAGATGTGTCTTGCACGCCTTTTGCGCACAAGCATATGAGAAGTACTTATATAAAAAGGTTGCCTTGGGTTTTTGTTAAACTTAGTCTAGCAAATTGTTTAAACATAAAAAAGCAAATAAAAAAAAAAAAAAAAAAAAAAAAAAAAAAACCCATTTTGCAATTATATTGTAAAGGAAAAATTAAGTAAATGACCAATTAATAAAAAAAAACACAATTAATTCTCAAGTGAGAAGCTCAATCACTAAAATTAAAGATATTAATTTCACTTTCAGTGAAGGTAAATTTCATTTTTTGCTGTGAAATGTTCAATACTTTAAGGAGAAAAGTATTTACACTTTTATATTTATTTATTTTTATTATTTTAAAATATTTAATTTATTCACTAAATATTAAAATTCAAAATTTAAAATGCTTACGCCTAGTCTCATGAGGGATAAAACGTCTCCAATTACGTATTCGCCTTTAAAAACTTTGATATTTGTATCCGCAATAGGATGATCAAAATCTTCAAAACCATTAACAAGCCACCAACAATATCAATGGTAACCACTCTACACAACCACCCTACAACAGGATAAATCGGTTGAAGCCAACACCAAATCAGCAGCTGCATTCCGTATTCTCTCTTTTCTTCATTTGCAGCAATATTTGACGTTTTTGAATCTAAGAATCAGAGCCAATAAACAAATTAACAACCTGCAAACTTGTTTTGCAAAGAACGCCTTATTGAAAGCTTTTAGATCCCTAAAACCTATTCCCCCATTAAACTTCCTCGTGCAAAGATTTTCCCAGCTCTTCCAATGAATTTTTTTTTGCCTCAGATCCACCCAACCAGTATCTAACTATAGGTCTGAAATGTCGTCACGTAATCCCACTATAGAACTTTGAAACAAGACATTACATACGTTGAGATGGCCACGGCAACCTTCTTGATAAGGACCTCTCTTCTAGTATGTTAGAGAAACTTCTTTTTCCATCCTTTGATACACTTCCAAACTCGGTCTTTATGTTGTTGAAGACCTCCTTTTGCGACCTTCCCACCAAGATTGTGGCATACAACTATTTACATTTCCATTAGAGATTGGAGCCCCAAAAGGTCCCTAATCTTGTCCATAGTTTGCTGAGATTTCTTCCTACTAAAAAAGACAGTAGACCTTTTGAAATTTGATTTGTTGCCCAGAGCCCCTTTTCTTGATGGATAAAAATCTCCTTAACCATCGCAGTTTCATCCATGCTTGCATTGCAAAACACTAAGCTTAACATTAGCAATCAACAAGCGTGAAACACTAGGACTGCTTTTACAGAGTTTCAGCCACTTGATCAACCCTTCTTGCTCTACTTTCCCAAGTAAAGAAGAGAATCCCTCCGTGCAAATGAGAAATAAGGCAAGAACGAACCCTTGCCTAAGTCCTCATCATGGGATAGAACTCTTCGATGAAAAGCCAATAATAAGAACTTTATAGCTGATCGAGGTCATACACTTCAGGGTGAGGTGAATCCATTGAGAATTGAAGCCCAACCTTTATATCATGAACTTAAGAAAAGACCACTCAACCTGATATAATATGCCTTATCATATCCAACTTTGAAAGTTGAAATGTATGTTTCTGGTATTAATTTTATAGCGGTTGACTTAGTTTACTGTTAGTTTCCATTTTTTTTTTTTGATCAGCAAAAGAAGCTTTATTGATGTAAATTTAGCACAAGGTACAAAAGCAATACACCAATAAAGAGAAGAGGAGTGCAGGAGCATCACAATGAGCAGAATGATCCCAACTAGGTTGGCACCAAAAAACTCATTCTATCATTTGCTAGCACCCCGGAGTTGGTGAGAAACCAACAGGAAGAAGTAAACCAAAAACAAAGAGAAAAAAGGGACACCAGCTGCAACCTCCACCAACTAACAATGCCTAGCGATGACTTCTCTCACAAACAACCAAACCACAGAGAGCGTAAGAGTCCAAAACAGGACAAAGACCAGCAGCAGACCACTGGACAGCCCAAACACCAAACCAGGACAGGTTCATCTTGATCCACATCTGGTACTGTGACTAATAGTTAACATGACTATCATATGGTCTGGCCTATCTTTGTGTTGGTTAGCATTAGCAGTAGATGCACCCCCCACAATACATGAACCAGACTTTTCACCAAGCATATTTTACGCCACCAGCAGCCTACAAAGGTTTGAAGCATATCTGAAGGCAATCCATAACAACATAACCCTGCTGCCTTAATATTCAAACAAATAGTCTACCTAGTCCCTAATTTGCACCAACTGATTCAGCATCTGATCTGATTCCATTTGAACAAATAATCATCAACTGAGAGAGGAAAGTCCTTAGACGTAGCTTTAAGCCAAAGAACAGTTCTGGTTTTGATGAGATCATATAGACCAACGGAATTGGGTTGAGACAAAGAAAAGACGCACTCATTCCTATGTTTCCAGAGAGACCACAGAACCACTAAGGGTATTGCTTTCCAGATTTTCTTCTCTAGCCTCTTTAATTTTCCACCCATCCACCAGTAGAAAAGACCTTCTACTGAACCTTGAATGCACCAATAATCTGTTAGTTTCCATTTGATTCATATATAGTTCAACAAAAGATTATAGAAACTACCCAATTACTTGAGGCATTTTTTTTGTTGGGTCAATTGAAACGAGAATATTTACATTTACAAACATCAAGACAATTACGTCAAATTAGACAATCAACTATTAACAAATTTCAACAACACAAATCCACAAGGCGAACGCTAATGACCACTACCTAAAGACAAAGACAAAGATTGACGTAATTGACCTCCTGATATTTAAGTTCATTTACGAACTACCCAAGGGAATAATAATCAATCTTCGCTAAAGACAAAGATTGACCTTCTGACTTCTCAATTAAGCGTATAAAAGTGTGACCAACATAGATAATACGATCAGATAATATTTTATTCTTTTTGCGGATCAAAGAAAAATAAAAAAATAAAAAGAGTCAGTTTGATGACTAGACTTTAGAGAACTCCATTTTTTTAAAGTTCAAAAATGTAAATACAAAATTAAATTAGGAATTAGGTGTTTACACAGAATCTATGTGATTGCATTTTAGTACAATGTCATACATACAATTAATTTTTACAAGTTTAATGAATACTCAAACGGCATAGCCGACCATGGTGACAACAAAGTGTTTTCAAAATTACCGCAAAAAATAAGGGTTGAACTATTATCTAGACACCACCATATCTCACATCCTTACATGTTCTTGATACATAATAATCCATGTTTCTCTTTCTTAAACCATGTTTCTATAGTTCCTTTAGTTTTTTACACCTCTTTTTCTAACTTAATTTCATTTAAAAAAATTTGTAACTTATAAATTAAAATCAACCAGTCCCTTTTTTTTATTAACTAATCCCCGGCATCACACGTGTAACTGCTAGTATTAAATTTATCCATCAATTTGTCAAAACTTAAGCACATTCAAATTATTATCTATTCTTATGCAACCCCATTTCCGTTAGTTAGTGTCCAAGAGAGGAACTATTTGGTAAATTATTTCCCAATCAAAAAAGAAGATATAACTCCCTTCTCCTTCCTTCTCTTTCTTGAGTTCCTTCATAATCTTTCTTTTTCTTTTCTTTCTTTTCTTTTTTTTTTTTGGTTTGATCGACAAAAAAAATTAACACCATTTTCCCCTTTCCAGTGTCGAGGTGGAGCAAGGAGGATGGACAAGGGGCTGGAAATTAATTAAAGAGTTTTAAATAATAATAATAATAAAATGGAAGAGAAAAACTAAAAAATTTCGAAGAAAAAGAAGACAAATACAAAAATATAAGATCTAGACCTTGATAGAGTTGAAGCTACAACCTTTCGTTCGCGTACAATCGTCAAAGAAGCATCCATTTTTTGCTCAAGACCGCCCAGTTCCTCAATGCTCAGATCATTCAATTCCTCTCCGATTCTGTGCCTGTCAAACCATACCCTAGTTAGCTTCATCCATAAAATTCAACCAATATTTACTTGTTTGATCAAATCAATCAAAGCAGTGATCCATTTATATATAATTAAAAAAAAAAAAGACAAAAATAATTTTTACTTGTTTGATCAAATCAATCAAAGCAGTGATCCATTTATATATAATTAAAAAAAAAAATAATAATAATAATTTTTTTAAATCAAGTACTGTGGCAATTTTTACCCGATCTCTCTCCTTAGTTTATTGTTGATCTCCTTCAGTTTTTTCAAATGTTCTTGCATCCTCTATTCACATCAACATTAAAACCCAACTAAATAATTAGCAGAGCCCCAAAATTTCTCTGAAACGTTACAAACTAATTTGGATACGAGAGTGAGAGAAGTGCAAATACCTCGTAGTGCGTGCTCCATAGATCGATCCCAAGAGCCTTCTGGTACTCATCATAAATCTTTTTTGTCCTAGTTTACAACAAACAAACATTAGGGTTTTCATATATGATTGGTAAAAATCATATATTGTTGAATAGATTTGACAGGAACATACGTGATAGAGGGACTAATGTACTCATGAAACTTTCCAGTGTTAGAAAACATGATGAGTGAGACTTTGGCATCACAGAGAACAGCGAGTTCTTGAGCTTTCTTGAATATACCGTTCCTTCTCTTGGAGTAAGTGACTTGCCTATTTGTTGGGTTCTCTATCCTCTTTATCTCAATCTTTCCACGACCCATCTCTCTCTTCCTCTCTCTCTCTCTCTCTGCAACTCCAAAACCGCCACCGCCGCCGCCGTAGATCAGAGTAATGAAAACAAGGTTTTGTTTTCAATGAGGAAGGAGAAGAGAGGAGAGAGATGAAAGAGAGGGGGGAAAGAGAGAGTGAAAGGGGACTGTTGAGTTACTAAAAACAAGTGTTTTGCCAATTTGATGAAAGAGTCTTTGCGTGGCTCTCTCTGTTTATTTTTACTGATAGGCACTCATAACGTGTCAATGTCCACCCATTTTGATCTTGACAGGACATAACCATAGAACGAGGACGATGGCCAGTTTTCATGTTGTCATTCTCATGCAAAGTAAAGGGTATTGACGTCTCTCATCTTTCTGGGGATTTTTTGGGGAACAAAATAAAAAGTTGGTTTTTTATTTTTCACCCATTTTGAATTATATCAATTTTTATATTTTTTATTTATAAAAAGATAAAATAAATTAAGAAATTTTAAAAATTATTTTTTACTAACTTTTCAAAAAAGTTAAAAAATTATTTTTTTACTAACTTTTCAAAACACCGCCCTCTTTAATACATATCTCTTTACATTTAAAAAATTATAATCTCATTTATCAAAAAAAAATTATAATCTCATTACAAATTGTCACTTAAATTGATGTTATATTTTTAAAAAATTTAAATAATTATCTTGTATTTTTTCTATCATTTTTTCTTCTTATCATTATGATTATATTTTATAATTTTTTATTATTAAATTCTATCTAAACATATTCTTATTGAGTAATGATATATGTTACCCAAAAGAAAATCTAAGAATGAGGTGAATTAGGTTTTTACAATTAAAAATTAATAATATCCTAATAAAAATTATAACTAACACAATAGATAAATATAGTTAATGAAATAAAAATAATTAAAATAAATGTTCTAGCAATTATGTCAGTTAATGATTTTAGTACAGTGAAAATGTGAAATATAGTTACAGCAATTTAAATAAAATAAAGAGATAAGGGAGAGAAAGGCAAACAAATTTATAGTGGTTCGGCTTCAACTCAGCCTACGTCCACTCCTCAAACTTCATTTGAGATTTTTCACTATGCTCTAGTTTCACGGGGTGCTAGTAACCTCTTTACAAATGGAGTAATTCTCCACAGATTTTACACTGACTTTCTAAGTCAAGAACTTTAAGTGTACTACATTCTTACAATGTTGAAAAGAATGTGTTTTTGTTTTCACAGAAAGTTACAAGAATTATTTCTCAAAGATAGATATAAAAATGAAACTCTCGTTTTTCTATAAACCTCACATAGGAAAGATGGGTTTAAAGTTATACGTCTCAGTGTATAATTTCTGAAAGAGGATGTAAACAAAAATTGAAGAACACTCCTCAGAGAATTTTTCAGATAATAGATGTGAGTGATTATAGATCAAAGAATATTTTCTAATTTTTTGTGACTTGTTTACATTAGAGGCTTTGGTATCTATATTGAAACTTATAGCCGTTTATAGCCGTTGTATTCATTTGAATTTATAGTCGTTTATAATCGTTGTACTTCATTATTACTAATTTGAATATCTTTCACTCTATCATTACAAATTTGAATATCTTTCACTTGAACCTTTTGAACTGTTGTTGTGCTGGGCTGTTTGAACCTCTATTTTTGGGCTTTTTGAACTCTTAATTTAATCAAATATTAAATACATTCTAACAACATTTAAGATAAAGGTTTAGGTAAGAAATAATAGGACAAAATAAATTTTGATTCTATTTTTCTCTTTGAAATAAATCATCAAAATAAATTTTGATTCTATTTTTCTCTTCCAAATAAATTAAAAACATAATCAAGTAAACCATCAAACTAAATAAGTCTAACAATCTCTCCATTTTTTATGATGGCACACAATAATATTTTGATTTGATTTGGGAGTAAGAAAAGCTCCCCCTCAAGTCATGCTCCCTAAATTCATTTCTAAATACATAGGTTAGCACATATTTAATAAATAAGTTTTAATTTGAGACATGATATGAGACTAAGATATCAAACTATAAATACATAATCATCAGATTAGTTCTCAAATAATTCCATAATTTGAAAATAATACCATAACACATAACATCATATAATTTCTCCCATTGTGACATTATCAAAAGAAAATCATGGGTCAGAATCTGGAGAAGGAAAAGGAAAATGATAGGGATAAATGACATCAAAAAATAGATAATCAAAACAGCAAAATTAAAATAAAATAATACCAACAGAAATTAAACTTAATGGGACGTTGGTGTTGCTGGAATAGTAATGTAAAAAAAATACTATGAGGGTTTAAAAAAAATCAATGTATGCAAAGTTAAATTTACCTCAAGATGCAGAACTCAAAAAAAAATTATACAGTTGAAAATGACAAACTGTTAAGGAGAATAAATGTATGAAGGACTTGAGAGTATTCAACTGATATAAATGTTTTCATATCAATGTAGCAATACACATATATCATTTTAACAAAAAATCAAGTTTCACAGTCATAACAAAACTTTTAAAGTAGAAATCGACATTTTAAGCTCGCCACGAATAAAATTGAAGTGATCATCGCTTAGGGATTTTTTGAAAATATCCGCCAATTGCTTGTTGGTGTTTACAAATTCAAGTATAATATCCTCTTTTTGAACATGATCTCTTAAAAAATGATGTCGAATTTCAATATGTTTTGTTCGTGAGTGTTGAACCAGATTTTTGCTTAAATTGATGGCACTAATATTATCACATTTTATAGGGATATGATCATAATGCAAATCAAAATTCTCCAATTGTTGTTTCATCCAAGGTATTTGGGTACAACAACTTCTGAAAGCTATATATTCAGCTTCGGCCGTTAATAAAAAAAACAGAATTTTGTTTTTTGCTAAACCAAGATACTAATGAGTTACCAAGAAAGTGACAAGTGCCACTGGTGTTTTTTCTATCAAGTTTGCATCTGGCAAAGTCGGCATCCGAGTAACTAATTAAATCAAATGCAACATCTCTAAGATAAAACAATCCCAAATTTTGAGTGCTAACAAGATATCTAAAAATTCTTTTAACAACACTAAGATGTGATTCCTTAGGATTTAATTGATATCTAGCACACATACAAACACTAAACATAATATCGGGTCTACTTGTAGTTAAATAAAGAAGTGAGCCGATCATACCTCAATATTTTGTTTGATCAATGGACTTACATTTTTCATCCTTGTCTAGCTTAATGTATGTGATCATGGATGTTTCAGCTATTTTTGAGTCATACATACCAAACTTTTTGAGTATTTCTTTTGTGTACTTAGTTTGGTTGATAAAAATTTCTTCCTTACATTGTTTGATTTGAAGCTCAAGAAAATAATTTAGCTCTCCCATCATGCTCATCTCAAACTCACCTTGCATACACTTAGTAAATTCCTTACACAAGGCTTCTTTAATAACACCAAATATAATGTCATCCACATATATTTGCACAATAAGTAAATCATCATTTTTAGTTTTAACAAAAAGTGTTGTGTCAATCATTCATCTAAAAAAATTATTTTCAATCAAAAATTTACTTAATCATTCATATCATGCACAAGGTGCTTGTTTCAAACCATATAAAGCTTTTAATAGTTTAAAAACATAATTTGGAAAAGCATGATCTTCAAAACCTGGGGGTTGTTTAACATAAACCTCCTCATTTATAAAACCATTAAGAAAGACAGTTTTTACATCCATTTGATAAAGTTTGAAACCTCTAAAACATACGAATGCAAGTAACATGCGAATGGCTTCTAATTTAGCAACCGGAGCAAAGGTTTCATCGAAATCAATACCTTCTTCTTGATTGTATCCTTGTGCAACAAGTCTAACCTTGTTTCTTATAATTGTGCCAAATTCATCAAGCTTGTTTCGAAAGATCTATTTGGTACCGATAATGGTATGATCTTTAGGTTTTTGCACAAATTCCCACACTTTGGTTCTCTCAAATTGGTTATGCTCTTCATGCATAGTTATCATCCAATGTTCATCGAATTTGGCTTCTTGAAAGTTTTTAGGCTCAATCTGTGAGAGAAAAGCCAAGTTACTACAAATATTTCTAAGTGAAAAGCAAGTTTCAATACCTTTTGTAAGGTCATCTAAGATTAAATCCTTAGGGTGATTATGAACAAACTTCCATTATCTTGGCAAATCATCATTGTTTCCTCCTTCTTCTTGAGGTGAGAGAATAGGTTGTTCAATCTCTTTGTTCAACTTACATGGTTGGTTCTTTTATTTGTAGATACTTGAATCTTCCACATTTGGTTCCAAATCTATATTATCATTAACAATTTGCTTTTGAGCAGAGATGTTAGTTTCATCAAATGCCACATGTATAGATTCTTCCACAACAAGAGTTCTTTTATTAAAAATATGATAAGCTTTGCTAGTTAAGGAATAGCCAAGAAAAATTGCTTCATCCGATTTTGAATCAAATTTACCTAATCTTACCATTATTATGCACCAAACATTTACAACCAAAAACATGCGAGTGACTAATGTGGGTCTTTCTATTATGCCAAAGTTCATAAGGAGTCTTTTTTAGAACAGGTCTAATTAATGCACAATTTAAAATATAACATGCGGTGTGAACGGTTTCGGTCCAAAAATATTTAGGAAGATTATTTTCGCAAAGTATTATTCTATTCATCTCTTCTAAAATTCTATTCTTCCTTTCTACTATACTATTTTGTTAAGAGGTTCTAGGTGCTGAAAAATTATGTCCAATACCATGTTCATCACAAAACAATTTAAATTTCTCATTTTTAAGTTTTCTACCATAGTCGATTCGAATATTAGTAATAAGAAAACATTTTTCATTTTGAATTCTACGACAAAATTTTGTGAAAAAAGAAAATGTTTCATCTTTGTGTGCTAAAAATATAACCCATGTAAATCTTAAATAATCATCAACAATAACAAGACAATAACGTTTACCACCTAGACTAGATGTCCTTGAGGGACCAAATAAATCAATATGCAAGAGTTGTAAAGGTCTTGTTGTGGAAATATGAAATTTTGATTTAAATGATATTTTAGTTTGTTTTCCTTGTTAACAAGCACTATAAAGATGATCTTC